TTATTATTATTATTATTATTAGGATAAACAATATTTAACCAATAACTTTTTTTAGGAAAATGACTATTTTTAAGGATCAGAGAAATATATTTCTTTAAATTTTTATAAAACTTGGAGAAAATGAATGGGTGATACCAAATTTGAACTTCGATATTTTGTAAATGGTTTTGTCACATAACTATGTGGCTATGTCAGCCTACATAAAACAAGTTAATGGTCCTTACTCAGGGGCGGACTCAGGGGTTGTCAGGGGTAGCACGGGCAACTCCTCAAATTGTGAGGAACATTAATCAAATGTTATTATTTTAGTATTTATATATATATATATATATATATATATTGTGATTTTTAGGTAGAATCCCTATATTTCAGTTAAATTCTTATAGAAAAAAAAATTATACAACAAAATTGTCTACTTAATGTTAATTTTTTCTAATTTTTTTAATTAATACAAGTGTCACCTTTAATATTGTGCAACCCCTAAAAAATTTATAAGAATTTTTTTGTGCAATCCCTGAATTTTTGTCCTGGGTCCGCCCCTGTCCTTACTGCTATCAATTATTTTGTGTTCACCATGCAACGATAAAATACTAACATTCAATTTTGAGCTATTTTTCCTTTTACGAATAAGATAAAAGATGATAGAGAAATTAATAAAGTCTCTAAACTTTTATAATTTAATAGATAAAATTAAGAATTTATGTGCTAATTTTTTATCCACTTTAAAATTTATCCCATACTCATAGCCTGGTCCTTGGTTAGACCGTGTTGGATGTATTAAGGCCCAAAAGAATCATTGGGAATTTGGGAGTTGCCTCAGTGATGTGTGGTCTTTCAACCATGCATTGTTAATGTTGGGTTTATGGAGCCCTCGATTCTGGTTCAAAGCATCAATATGTAGCCCTCGAAGACAAAAGAAAGGTTCTAAAGAGAGAGGTTTTGAGGGATAGGATGGGAGGGTTGGAATGTTTTTGAGAGGAGGATCTGGGTCAAAGATGTATCGATGAGGGATGGTGAAAATATCCGAATCTGACTATCCTCTTATATAGATAGCTTTTTTTAAAAAAAAATTCAAGGCTCGAAGTGAGATTAGATTTAAGGTGAAAAATCACCGATCTGGCCTGATTTGGTTTTATATATATAATTTAATATTTTAAGAAATTTATTTTATTTTAATAAAATATATTATTTAAATTATTAAAATATAAAAAAAATTATAAAACATATTATTTTAATAGTTTAAAATATAATCAATAATTATGAATATAATATTATACAATATATTATTTTAATTATTTTAAGAATTAATATATTCATATTAGGACGAGGTTGGAGTTTTAGTCTAAAACCCATGACATGTTCTGGATAAAAAAACCTAAAATTCATCAGAACGGGACGAGATCGAATATAAGATTTATATTTTTGGGTCGGGATCGAGACAAAAAAGCCCACAATTCGAGCAATTCTCTTAACCTCGTAACTTAATTGGACATGTTTGATTTCTAAAGATCAAGCCCGTTTTTAAAATTTTAGTGGTTCGAAGAGAATTTAAAAATGGGGTCTCGGTTATTGAACGTTTATTGATTATACCATAAAATGTATAAAGAAACTAAGAGAATGATTATTGGTAATGATTCCTTTAACAAAACATTAATTATTTCAAAACAGAAAAAAATAATCTTTTGGTTGAGGTTATCCCAGGCTGTTTAAAAATTAAATATATTATGATAAAAAAATTTTGGTTTGGGGCCCTGGGCGTGCCCCTCCTGCCTAGGCCCTGCTAAAGGCACAAAAGAAACATTGGGAGTTGGGACAAAGTTACCAAGGTAGGCTCATATGGTTAATGGGTTTTCCATAGACTCAGTTCTCGTCGTTAGGACAGAGCCGAACATAGAAAACAAGCATGTCCATATTCAATTGCCAAGCCGCAGACGCCTCCAAAGAATGTTTGATTTCACCCCATCAGCGTTTCATCTGGTTTAAGCATGAACATCGTCCCAGTTTAGATGATATATATTGAATTTTATTGATGTCAACGAATACAAATATAAAATTAAGATCAAATATTGAATATAATGAAGCACAGGTGCTTCAGCATACTCTAGACTCTTAGACTCTAGAGCCGTTAGAGACTTAAGAGTTCATCTTTTGAGGACTCGGAGGGTTTCGCACGGTTCTCTTAACGCGTAGTTGTTAAGGCCTCTATAGACTCTAAAGCAATATGGAAGGATAAATTAAAGAAGGAAGAGAACATGCACGTAAAACTAATTAACAAACACGCTTGTATCATTTTATATGGTTGCTGTATGCATGCGTGCCCATTATATGTCATGTATGCACGCTTTGTTTTTCGTGGTGAATCACCATCTTATAAATTCAGATGAAATTATTGCATCAATAATAGTTGTATTAACAATTGATATGATAATTGTTGTAATAATCGTAATAAAAGGTTGAAACAACTCAAATAAATCTTGGATTAATACTTAAATAAATAATGACTAAAATATGGATTAGTCTTCCACGTTCGACGAGCACCGTTGAGTATCACTAGAGATGAGCGTCGTTCAGCACCATAAATTTAATTTATAAAAATTTAAAATTCTAAAGGACTCAACGTATAAATAAAACAAAATATCAATTACATTATTTTTCATGATTTTTAATAATAAAAAATTTATAATTTCCCTTTAAAATTAATTAAAAATTATTAAAATTAATGTAAATGATATTTTATTTTAAATAATTTATCTTTAAATTTTTAACTAATTTTAAATAGTTTATCTTTCGTTTTTAACATGATATTCTATGCCTTTACACTTTTTTTTTTTGGAAAATAAAGAGAAACTACCCTACTTAACTAAACTATCATGCTTTCTGCTTCCTTGAGCCATAGCTCATAAACCGTTGCTGGTGGTGTTTCAAAAATGCAGCTTCTTGTGTTGCTGGTTCGGGCCAATTTGGCCATTTTATATGCCTTTACACTTTCCAGTTATTCAAAAACTCACCTCACAAATAACTTTGAATTTGACGACCTTTTTGCTCGAAATAAGCTTTATTAAACATGATAAAGTACTACTTATATCATTCATAGTCGTGAATGTGATATTTCTTTTATAGAAAGCATCTAGTTTTATTAATAATAGAAAATATTTATAATTATAACGAAGATTCACAAATATAATCGTAAACGTAAACTAAATTATAATTAGAATATTTTCATATAACCATTAGCACAAAAACTAGCCACCTAGATCACACAAGGACTTTAAAAGAAAAATGTTAAAAAAACTTAACTAATGTTCGAACAAAATAAAGATACAAACAAATCTGATTGTATCGAAAAACGAACCACAAAAGAAGATGAAACTACTGAAAGACTACAGACAAAATCACAAATAAGAGTCAAGCGACGTGATAAAACTATCCACGAGCGTTAAATGTGTATTCAAATCAATCCGAGAGTCCAAAGCAGAGAAGATCAACATGATAACAAATAAGTGTCATATTAATCGGTCGTGGCGATGTCAAATACAATCATGAGAAAAAAGATAAACGAAAACAATAGTCAAAAAATTGAAAACTACAAAAAAAAATAGAGAAAAACGTATTACAAAGACAGAGATAAACGTTTCATAAAGATAGAGATAAACATGTCACAAAGACATAATTATTCTGATTAAAAAAACTAAAAAATAAAGAGAAAAACAGCCAGCGGTCGACAGTCAGTATCAAAATTGGTGTCGTCGTCGACTAAACAAAATTAAATAAAAAAAATTGATTTGATCTATCGAAATTGACATAAGTTATAAAGAAAAAAAAAGAGGGAAAGAGAGGGAAAGGTGACAGCGGTTAGGATTTCTTCTTCTTCTAAAAGTAATAAATTAGCAATAAAAATGTATATATTTAGTTATCTTTTAATGTAATTTTTTAAAAAACATTTTAACGTAATTTTTAATGTTACATGCACAATTATAAAATTATTTATAATAAAATCTAAACCTAAATGTATTTACATATTGTAAAATTTAAATCTAAAATCCAAAGTTTTTAGTAACTCGACTTTAAAATTAACAAAGACCTCATTAGTATTGGCCTCCACAGCCGCTACTAGGCTTATGTTTGATTGGGCTGTTTTTTTTTTCCCTTCTAAGAAGTCTAAACATTTTGGGTATCTTAAGTTTTTAAAGATGCAATAAAGGACCACAAAGGTACCAATTCAAGTGGGTAAATATATTCTTAAGGGACCAAAAAATTAAATCATAATTAAATTATATTTAAATTGTATTTTAAAATTGTATTTTATTTAATAATATGTTTAAATAGGAAATAATAACATATTCAGTGAAAAAAAGTTAATTCCAGTCATCTATTTTTACTCATTCAGTTATCCTAAATATGTGTAAAACTAAAATAGTTTTATCTTATATAAGTAGATCCTAAATGTAAGTAGATCCTAACTCATGTGACTAGGATCCAATTACATATTGTAAAACTAAAAATTTTACACATTTTTAAGATTGTTGGATGAGAAAAAAATCAAAAGCTGATATTAACCGTATAAAATAAGAAGATATTCATTGAAAAAAGAACAAAAAAGTTAATCTCAATCATCTATTTTTATTCGTTTAACGATATTAAATTTGTGAAAATAAAAAAATTACATTAAGTAAATAGATCCTAACTCTTTTGGCACCGACCTTATCAACCCTTCGGCCAATTGAAAAAAGAACCTATTGCATCCTCATGTTCTCTTGTCTTTACATTTTTATCCTCTTTTGCTACCTTTCAATGAAATTTAAAGATTTAAATTGTACAATTATGTTCCAATCTAATTCAAAGCAATGTTCTTTTGCAACATTGTGGGGGCCTGAAAATGAAATTTAAAGATTAAAATATCTCAATTTTAAAGGAATATATAAATAAATAATATATATGACTTGCAAATTTTACCCACACGTGATAGGTGGATGCTAACTCTCTCTATTTTCTCAATTTCCTTTGTTCTATATATATATATCTTCAAAGCTTCTTCTTCTTCCCTACTGGCAGTAACTCAAACACCAGATTGTTTAAGACGTAGCCATGAACAAGTTCAAGAAATCTCAGATTCTGATACTATCTGTTGTGGCAGCACTTTTGTCTTCATCCTCGAGACCTACTTATCTTTACTTAGTCCTCAACCTTGTCATCCTATCGCTCGGAGCCGAAGCCGGTTTAGGATCGTTGTTCACTAGGCCTTCTTACGCTGCAGCAAAGCCGGTGAAGACGGCGACACAATAAGCTAAACGCACAGTCGAAAGCAAAGATGATCCAAAACAGGTTTCTCCTACAGCAGGTAGTGAAAAGAAAGGCAAAAAAATCGTCGACAAATCCGTCTAAGAGAAGAAGATCAATGTCGGGTCGATCAAGGCGGAGAGAGTGAGCCTTTTCTTTATAGGAAATGGAGAAACCGAACCCGAAGCTGTTAACGGACAAGACCTCAAGGAGGAGGAAGAAGATTTCGGAGTGCTTAGTGGGCCTGAGTTGTTTTCCAAATCCGAAACTTTCATTGGAAACTTTCACCAGCAGTTGAATATGCAGAGGGAATAGTCGTGGAAGAAGATTCATGGATTTTATCAGAAGGCATTTTGAAGTGTATTTCTCTTCAAATCTTCATCATATCATAAATTAGGTCACTACAAAAATCTTCACTATATAGATCATGCATGTTCTTTCTCTCTCATTTTCCTGCTTGCCAAGCAGGTTTGTTGTTAGTCTTTTTCAGGCACTTCGCACCATATTTTACATGAAGTGTCGTGAAATAACAAAAGACAGATAGCGAAGGGTTGTACATATCTACACCATCTCTATATAGTATACATAACTCATAGATTTTCCCATACATATAAGTATTTCTTCTAATATACCATACATGTTTGGATTGAAACAAGTGAAACTAATGTTTAATATATTTAACATAATATGCTTGCTATAATTTTTTTTACAACTCATACAGTTAAAACTCTATAAATTAATAATGTCAGGACCGGAGAAATTTATTAATTTAGAGAGTTATTAATTTATCGATAAATTAATAATTATTAATTTAAAGAGTTTTTAAGTAATTATACTGTACATACCAAACAAAAAGGCAAATTAGTCTATGCCTCTTAGAATTACGTTGCAAGAGCTCTAAATAGACTTGAACTTTAAAGGAAAACAAACAACTATTGAATCATATTTCAATAGAGTGTAATATATTTTTTTCAGTTTCTATGAATTATTAATTTATGATTTTCTTGGGACCGAAAATTATAAAGGGATCTCATGAAAAATTATTATCTTATTATTTTATCGAGTTTTTCAATTTTTTACATTGACCTAGGTCGGGACTAGACAAATTTATTATTTTAAAGAGTTTATTAATTTACCGAGTATTAATTTAAAGAGTTTCTGCTATATTTAATTTTTTGGTTAATCATTTTAGATCAAGTATTGTAAAAAAATTTATTACCCTAATTTTATTTAATTTATGTCACTTTGAATTCGAGTCAAACTCAAACATTAATTTTATATATATTCCTCAAAAGCTTTAGCTGACCAGAAATAACATATTTATCCCTCCTGTCGTAACCGATTTTTGCCCGGACACGAAATTTTTTCTTGGCGGGAAAAATAAAATGAATAAATAAATGATTTTGATTTTTCAAAATATTTTAGGAGTCGCCTTTAACCTTTTTGGGTTAGGTAGGTCAAATACCTAAAAACAATCTTTTAAAATAGTTTTAAAGAAAACATAATTTAAAAGATAAAATTGATCTGCGTATAACCAAAAATAAAAAAGATTCGTGGTCGATTACGTTTAGGGAAGGATTAGCACCCCTATAACGCCCAAAATTGGTACTTATTAATTATAAATTGTCTCTATTATTGGAAATTAAAATTTTAAAAAAATATTTAATTCATAATCCTGTTATTTTAAATTTATTAGTATAATTTAAAAATATATTAATATCTATATATATTTTTTTATTTTTATAAATAAGATATTTATTTACTTAAAAATATCAGAAAAGGACTTCTAGGTGCTTTAAGACATCCCGTTCCTTAATATTAATAAATAAATATTAATAAAACATTTCTTTAAAAATAATTAATATATAATTTATAAAAATAGGATATTTATTTATTTAAGAATATCAGAAAATGACTTTTAGGTGCTTTAAGACATCCTATTTTTAATATTAAAAAATAAATAAATATTAAAATATGATTATTTTTCTTAAAAGTAATTTATATAAAATTAAATTTATAAATAGAATGTTTAAAAATAAATATTATTTATTATATATATTTATATGACTAAATAATAATATTAATAATAATTAAAGTGATAATTTAGAAATAAAAAAAGACAATAATAAAAATAAAATGCAAATAAATAGTAATTAAATAAAATTAAACAACAAGATTAAGATTTAAATATCTAAATTAATGAACATAATTTGAATCATTATAAAAATATAATTACTAATATTGTAATTATCCCTTAATTATTAATCAGTGATTGAAATAATAATTATTAAAATTAAAGGCTCTAACTTGAAATAAAAAAAATCTAAGTGCTAATAATGTAATTTAGCCTTATTTAATTAAATCGGGTTAAAATGTAAATTATAAAAATTATAAGGGCTAAATATATTATTTATCCTAAATATTATATAAACAAGTAAGTACTGAATTATAATAAAATAAAATTAAGAAACCAAATTAAAATGATTATAACTCGATTTAAGTGACCAACTCATTAAGTTACAAAACTGCAGGTATTGCGGAAAGGGTTTACTCTTTCTGAAATTACACATACGCCCGGCGCGTTTTGATGAGGGTATTTATACCCTAAAGGCCATTGATTCTCATTTTTCCTCTTTTCCTTCTCTCTCTACACCGGAGGGATTCCGGTTTCCGGCCGACAACTGTGTTCCAGAAATTACAAAATCCACCCCAAATCGAAGCCCAATTTTCCCTTGTCCTAAATCCAGGCCCAGTTTTTCCTAATAACCCTAAGATAATCCTAGATCTAAAATAAACCGAGGGTTTTTACCTTCGATTAAACAATGGTTCCGGCGTCGTTTGCTTTTCGCCGTGCCAATAGTAAGTTTTTCGTCTCTTTGCTACTGTTGGTTGCTGGTTTGCTGTATGTGTTCTCTTTGTTTTCTCCGTCGTGGTTCTCTGTCCGTGCTCTGTTGGCCTCTCGATTGCTGGGTGGTTTTTTTTGTTCTGCTCTCTCTGTGTTCTTCCTTTGCAGGTGCAATGAGGCTTTTATAGCCTCATAGAGACACTCCTCTGACCGGTCTCTTGGGTGAAGTCTGGTGAGTCACCGAACTTCCAGTGGTGACTCACTGTTGAGGGCGACGTGTGCGGCTGGGGCCTGGGCCTTTTGGAACCTTTGGTTGGCGTCGTGGCAGCAGCTGAAGCGTCAACGTGGAGGCGGTGGCTGAACAGAGTCCTAGGGTTATGATACCCTAGGGTTTTGTCTAGATGCATCTTGACCGTTGAATCAAGGCCAGATCCAACGACTGTGAGCAATGGCGGCTAGAGTTGAGATGATATAAACCCTAATTGGGTTTAAGGTTAGTTTTGAGCCTGGACCGAGTTGGGCTTGTAAATTGGGCCTGTTCTGTTTGTAAAATGGGCTTTTGGGTATTGAGCTTCGTTTTTGGGCCTGTTTGTAATAATAATAATAATAATATATAATAAAATAAATAAAATAGTATAAAAATTAATAATAATATTACTAATAATATTAAAAATAAAAAACAAATGGATAAAAAAATTAGTATCTTCAGCTGCCCCTTTTTGTTCATTGTTGTGTTAACAAGAATAGGGCAAAGACGAAAAGATAATAAATTTTTTTATTCATTTGACTTCGCTTGATTATGATGGAAATGTTGAATAAATTCTTCTTTGGGGATTAGTTCTTCTTATTATGAACTTTTCCATTGGGGATGACAATTTATCTCCTTCTATGACGTAATCTAGCAAAAAGTTGAACAAATTCTTCTTATTATGAACTTCTTCTTCTTTTTCAGATGAGTTCTTCTCATTATGAACTCCTTCTGGAAATGTTGATCTTCAAAAGAGGATTTGTTAATTGGCTTCATATGTGATGAATTAAGGCAAGGTTGAACAAGTTCTTCTCATTATGAACTTCTTCTCCTTCTTCAGATGAGTTCTTCTCATTATGAACACTTCTGGAAATGTTGATCTATCTCCTTATGTGATAGAGTCATGAAAAAGGTTGAACAAGTTCTTCTTATTATGAACTTATTCTTCCTCTTCAGATAAGTTCTTTTCATTATGAACTTTCTCTAGAACAGTTGATTCATTGAGTGATGAATTCAAGCAAAAAGTTAAACAAGTTCTTCTCATTATGAACTTCTTCTTCCTTCTTCAGATGAGTTCTTCTCATTATGAACACTTCTGGAAATGTTGATGCTGATGCTGATCTATCTTCTTCTGTGATAGATTCATGCAAAGGTTGAACAAGTTCTTCTCATTATGAACTTCTTCTTCCTCTTCAGATAAGTTCTTCTCATTATGAACTTTCTTGAAAAATTTGATTCATCTAGTGATGAATTCGAGCAAAAGGTTGAACAAGTTCTTCTCATTATGAACTTCTTCTTCCTTCTTCAGATGAGTTCTTCTCATTATTAACTTCTTTGGAAATGTTGATCCATTGAGTAATGGATTCGAATCTTTGCTAAAATATTTGAAATTTCTGTCAAATATTCAACATGGAATGAATAAAAATGCCCCTATTTTTGCAAATGCCTAAATATGATGCATGAATGTTGAGTGTCTTTATTTGATTTCAAAGTGGTGAACTCGGTCTTCCTTCACTTGGTCAAAATGTCATTTCAAGCCGGCATTTCTGATTTGGAAGAGCAATCTTTGTGTCTTCTTTGCTTCATTTGCATTAAAGTCGCAGAAGAAATGTTTCATCTGTAGAACTCTTGTTGTAATCATAATTATGACCTTGATGCCCTATTTTGTCTTGGATAAAACCAACTTTCTTTGCTTGAACTTGTGTAGAAATCCAGTAAAGCTTTCATCTTTGAAAACAGAATTTATCATCTTTGTAAAGAGAATCTATCATTTTTGAAGAGAAACTCTGTAACATCCTAAATCAGGGTCAGTGACTAAATTACAAATTTTAAAAATTATGTGCTCGATTTCGAAATAAGTTAAAAGTTCATGGATTTAATTGAAGAAAGTTGATGTTGGATTTAATGGTAAAGTTTGGAAATAACAAGGGTATTATGGTCTTTTCTAAGAGAAGATTTTTTTTATTCTCTTTTAAGGGATATAAAAACGTGGGAAAGGAGATAATTTCTCCAGGGTATTCTTCAGTCTTCTTCTTCCTCCTCTCCACCTTGAAGCCTTGTATCAGGTAAGTGGGTCTTCAGTTGGTTAATTCTTTCGTTTTAAAGCTTGTTTTGATTCTTGGGATGTTAAGAAAGATTAAGGAAAGCTTTAGGTGGCTTAAAACTCAAAGATTAGCAAGTTATGAGAAATTAAGAAAAATGAGTTTTTAAGTGAATTTTTGAAATAGAAGGAGTTAATAGATTTTGAAGTTTAATTTGACTTGTCAAGGGTTAAATTAAGAGATATGAAGTGATAGAATGGGTTTTAGAACATGTTGGAAATTTAGAGTGATTCTTGAATGCCATGTAAATGATAGAATTTTGAGTTTAAAGAAGTGATTATGGAGTAGAAATGAGTTTAAGTATGTGTATGAAAATTAGGAATATTAAAGGGAGTGAAGTATGAAGTGTTGAGCTAAAAATGAAGTGATTTTCGAGCTAAAAATATGATTTCTGGGCAAGGGGAATTGGTACCCATTCAAAGGGAACCGATACCCCTTCAAACGAACAAAAATTTCCAGAATGTCATGAGGGAATCGATACCCCCATGGTAGAACCGATTCCCCCTAAAGGAAAATTGTGAATATTGGTTTAATAAGTTCGTTTAAGTTGTTAGTATCAAATCACAAGGTATAGGTATCTAATAATTGTCTTAAAATATATAATTATGTAGATTCAGAGCCTAATCAAGTTCCGGAATCATTGACAAGTAAGATCGATCAAGGGGAAAGATAAGAGATTGGAATTGACTAGTGAGGCCAGGTGAGTGCATACAAGTTAGTTTATGATGTTTAACGGAAATAAGACTTGCGACAAGTCTATTTCTTATATTAGAAGGCATGAATGTTTGATCATATGCATATGTTTGATTTGGGTATATGTGATATATATATATTATAGTATGTATTAAATGATTTTTGTGAATGCATGCAGTGTGATAAGTTATAGGAATTAATATGAATGATCTATATGATTACATGAGAATATGAAATAGGGTATATGATAGGTGACCATACATGTTACATAGTAAATATGATCAATTATAAGAATCAATATAATATATTTATATGACTACATGAGAAGGGTGATGAGTTAAATAAGATTAGACTATAGAGTAATATAAGAATAATAAATTAGTGAAGGGAATTGAGTATAAATGATGATGCCAAACTATAAGATAAGTGTTATAGAGAAGAAGTATATTTAAAGAGAATTATGATATAGGATTTAAGTAAAATTTAACTAAATAAATAGATTAAACTAGTATAAATGGAAAATGAGATAAGTTAGGTAGCATTTACCTAGGAGATAACATAAGATTATATGAATAAGTAGCATAAATTACATAAGGAAAACTTATGTGTTATATGATTTAAGCATTGAAATGAACAAAAGATATATTCAGGTGAAGTTATTCGGTGATA